AAAATACCCAGAGATGACAATTTTGAGTAATGAGTCCCATGTAAAATACCCAGAGATTGCAATTTTCAGTAGTGAGTCCCATGTAAAATACCCAGAGATGACAATTTTCAGTAGTGAGTCCCATGTAAAATACACAGAGATTGCAATTTTGAGTAATGAGTCCCATGTAAAATACCCAGAGATTGCAATTTTGAGTAATGAGTCCCATGTAAAATACACAGAGATTGCAATTTTGAGTAATGAGTCCCATGTAAAATACACAGAGATTGCAATTTTGAGTAGCGAGTCCCATGTAAAATTACATACAAAACACAATTTTAAAGAATTCATGTTTTAGTGGTTTTATAATTACTGAGCGAAGCGAGTGCTTGCAGATGACAATTTGTCTCAAATTTCAATCCAGTTCATTCCAGTTTATTCTAGTTTATTCCACTATCCATCATTCAGTGGATAAGTCATCTAGTGGAAGATATAAAACATGTCTTCATCCAATCAGCTGGCTACACTCAGACTATGAAGATTATAATTGCTTAATATATTTCTTGATTTCGTTATCATTATAGTAAGCAACACAAATTGATGAGGATCTGGAGTGTTAATGTGATGTACTCTTACCTAACTGACACATGGCACTTCTGTGCTCTTCATCAAATGACAGTTTCATAAGTGCTGCCACAGCAGGTCCTGGATGATGATCTATAGGTGTTGGTCTGTTGCCTACAAGACAAAATACAATCAGAATTAACTCATTAAGTACACCAGTACATCCAGCATAGCTCAAACAGCTGAGATCAGTAAGTTAGGGGCTCAGTCAGCTGACATCTGTAAAACATGAATTTTTGTGTCTGCTCACAATGCACTAAGGAGCTACAATGCTGCATCCACTACTGACCTGTTGATTCTTGTTTACTATCTTCCTCATCAGCATTTTCTCCTAAAGAGTCACAGTATGCACGTATCTGCTCCAGCAACCGCAGTACCCTGGCTTCAAGACGCCGCCTTTTTTCATCAGGATGGGAATGGACAATATTATGCAAAGCAGCAGCCGCACGTACTCTTGCCTCTTTACTGCCACGTGTGTCGCCGAGTAAAGAGTCCTTGTCTGGACCATGTAGAAGCTGGATTAATAATGGAAGGCATCCTACAAAAATAAAACAATTCGATTCCCTCAAAATTAGTACAAGCTATACAAATCAAGTTATGTACGACATGATACACATTGACTGACATTCTGACTACAATCAAAGAAGCGCTTGTTACAAAACTGTCACAAATAAAACCCTGCAAGAACTAAATAAACAATATTCTAATATGATAATGCAACACTTAGGCCAGGGTAATGATAGTTCTAAATCCACCACTGCAGTCACCTACAATGTAGATCAGGTAAATAATGGCTCATGTGACATCTTATCTGATCCTAAGGCCAAATTGACCAACTACTAATCATTTGTTGTTGGCAGCATTTCTAAATCTATTTTTATTCAGTCGTTCACCCACATTTCTGTTCTCTGAACACCCCTAAGATTGAAATGATACTTTCCAACATGTAAATCAGCCACAGAACAGATTATTGGTTTTAAATATGTGAAATACACACTGTATATAAGCGGGGGTTAACAGTAATTGGGATTTATGTCACACACATTTTGTTTTAATTCTATGTACATCTGCAGGGAATCCGGATTCAATGATAACAACATCTGCAGGGAATCCGGATTCAATGATGACAACATCTACAGGGAATCCAGAATCAATGACAACATTGTCTACATTCCTCACCTTCTGCTTTCTATTTCAGGTAATTTATTTTAGAAACATTAGCCAAATGTAACTCAGTGTCTCAATGATACAATGGGCATGTTATTATGAACAACTGGAAATAGGAATTTTTTTAATCAAATTTTTGTAAATTCATCTTAGGCTTTGAAGTCAACTCCAGGCACAATCCACAAAATCATTCCATTTATAGTCTGCTTTTTTTTAACATAATCAAATACGAAAAGAAATGACACATTTTGTCTGTTTGGTCCAAAATTATCTATGAATTCAGTGAAATTTACCCAAAATTTGTGCGTGAACAAAAACTACCGGTACATGTATCTAAGGGACGACGTCAAAAGAACAATGTCGGATAAAAAAATGAATTCCTTTAGTTTTTTTCCAAAACCCTAATATATTGAATCATGGCGTCAGACTACATTCCCCATTAAATAAAAATTGACAATCTGACAGTAGTATGGCATAGCAGTTGGTTGTAATAATGAAGTGGAATATACGTATGCGCAAAATACTTTTCTGGGTTCTGCGCATGCTCTAGGTCTATGCCCTGAAATTGACCTCAATTGACATACATATCGGACCAAACCATTTTCTCGTCTTGGATTTTTTTCTTTTCTGTTATTTTTGTCATGATTGATTTAAAATAAACGAACTACAAATACTCTAAGGATTTTTATACTTCATTAAAAAAAAAATTGTTTTTGTAGGATGGAAACTTTTTAAGGTCAACCCCCCACCCCACCCCCAAACTAAAGCAAATAAGTTTTTTATCCGACCTTGATCTTTTGACGTCGTCCCTAAACTAAAAAGAATCCATATCAGAAAATATCAGTAGAATAAGGAAATACTTCTGATGTCAATGCAATTGCTACACATAGTGTATGATTCCAAAATGTAGTACAATAACAAATTCTGTTTTGGACCATCAGAATCAGAGTGTTAGCCAGCCACCAGTCCACCTTCCAAACAGACTGCCAACTTTTTCCCATTTTTTTGTTTTTTCTATTGTTCTTTGATAATTTTACCAAACTATATTGAAAACCATCGATATTTTCATGACGTTGAATTGTTTTGGACTTGTAGTTGTAAATTCCTGGCTAATCGCCTGATCAGAATTGACCTTGAAATTGTGATAAAAAGATCAATTATTCTTGGAGCTATTTGATACTCATGGTGTCATGAGTCATATGATCTACTAGTATTTGCAATATGTGAATAAAACAGCATGTGAAGCCAAAATGAATAAGTGATATCAAATGATAAACTCGTAACAATGTACATCATATTTAATCAAATTCAATAGATGTTTTTATTATCAGTAGCTCGTCCAAATTATGCTGCTGTTATTAGTACAAGTACAAGACAATTCAATGTCAAAAGTATTTTCCTCACAGATGACACTGTTAGATGCATTCACAAAAATTTGTCTCTGGTATTTAGAATAATGTTTTGAACAAACAGAACTGCTCATGACGACTCATGAAGCAACAGACATTAACAAAATTCAAACCCAACTGCGAATGAGATTTAATCTTAATGATATCTCCTACCTGACTGCCTCATGGCAATACAACTATCCAAAGAACTTGACATTGCGAGTAATGTTCGTGACATATCATCTTTATCATGTGTGCCAAGCATCGACAGAAGAGAATATACCATCTCCACCTGAGAAAGAACGGAAAACAACATTTTTCAGTGAAAAATAATTGTAGCTGTTTGGAAAATGTTTGGATTTTTCCTTCAAGACCTCTACGCTCTTGAATATTACATCAGAGTGTCAATCATCAGTCAAGGGATCATTTCTAGGTCACCTTATTACATGCACAATGATTAATTGAGAACACACGCTAAACATTAATTTAAATAAATGTCAGGAATGGCTACCCTGATCAGTGATCTTGCACATACTTTGTCACACAAAGTAGACACATTTGTTACGGAAATTGAAGATATTTCAAAATCAAATTATGAAAATGTATCAAAATATGCAAATCTGTATGGTTTCCAACCAACATTAACATTCAACATACGTTTATTATTTCATAATTCAGTTCATCCTACTGTAATTGAAAGTGTTGGGATAAATATAGTTGTAGACAGAGAAGTATACAAGTGCAAGAAAAGTGCGCAAATGAATTTCAGAAAAAAAATAGATGTCCAAAAAAAATAATTTACTATATTATTTACATGGATATAAGCCATATACATTGTAATTCTGTTTGGTGCATGGAAGTGTAATGCTGGCAACAAGTATGAGTATATAAATAAATGAATGACTTTTAGCAGATTTTCCAGGATGAATTTGCATACATTTTAAAGTGTATCCTGTAAACCATTTGCATCACTAGAAATAATTTGATAAATTGCAGGCATTTGAACACACTCCCTGACTGAAGAAGACATTCTTCAGCTATAATATTTTGTGATTTTTGCAGTTCATTAAATTGTCTATTACCAAATCAAAATGGTTTAGAGTACACTAATTCAAGAAACACATGTTAATAAAACTAGTGAAAGAACAGTTCTCACATATTTGCATTGTGAGCATCTGTTCACAACCACATAAATATCCAACCTATTACAAAACCAGTAGTCTCAACTATGGGCAAGTAATCGTTGCATTTGTCACACCAGATGTCGTAATCAGAGAAATTAAATAGTAAATTAGAAGGTGATGAAAACAGAAATGATAAGAGATGGCATGTTATACACTAATTAAGTCTTTTGTTTACATTTCAAGTTGACAGGCGTTTTTAGTATCACAAATGTTTCCATTTATAAAGGATGTCCCTCCCTATGACATCATGTGAATCACGAAGACGTTCGATTAAAACATATAAAGTAAAGTAAACAAAAACTAATGATAGATGCATTAAATCTTTTAAGTCATTGAAATCATTTTGTTTATTCTGGAAGTAACAAATTACTGAAAAGTTTCAACTGAGTTTAGGCGGAAATTTTCCATGTGAACTGTTTCACGTACTGAACAGCGTCTTAAAGTTGAGTTCTATTTTTGCTGAGATTTCATGACAAATGCTATTAATGCAATATTTCTTTACCGGTACTTAAATACGTTTGTGCCGAATTTTACAGATTTTTATATTTATTTGTTTTATTTCAGCATAAAATTGTTGATTTTGGTTCACAGACAATTTCCTATTGGCTGCAAGTCTTGGTCAAATATTCTGAAAAAATATGGAGAAACTTTAAATTGCGAAAAGTGACAAGTTGAGAATGGCAATGAACTATTAGCTGTGACTTTTTACCAGGAAAGTGCTACAACTGTAAACAGTTTTGCAAGACTATTCTATTTTAGTGGCAATTAAAAGTGATTCAAACACCTGTTTAGACATTTCAACAAACTGTCAGTACGCTGGGTTAGCGCAAAATAAAATGTGTCCGCTCATATTTAAAATTCTACCAATCTCCACTCGCTGATTCAAATAGAGAAATTACAATACTCAATAAATTTAAATTAAACAACCTTACCATTGTACAGTGATTCTAAACGCGCTTTGACCAACCCTTATATCCACACAAAACCTGCAGCAGACGCTTTCTAACTCAACCAGGAATTAAGACTATGCCGAGCATAGCAGATGTTTTAAAGATCCAGAAGGTTAGACAGCTCTGACATAAACACTGACAGAAATTCCAACATCTCCTGTCCAATAGTTGATTGGTTGTGTCAGGGATACATACATGTATATAATTATGCTCACGCAAATATGGTAATGAGCTGTCAGTCACATGACTTACACTCCGACAATGTTCTGTTTATTTAGAGATTGAGGATTAATTAAGTAGGCATGTGGTGGGAACAACACAGTCATGGAGATGTGCTACGTGAAATGGATACTTCTTGGTGTTATATCAGCAGTATCTATTTAACTGACCGCTTACCAAAAGATTAATTTGAGATGAAATGAGTTAAAATAATGCAGGACGATTGATACATTCAGTAACATTTCTTGTCAAGATTGTTTTTGAAAGAAAAAGTCGACAAAATCAACCCAATTTTTTTCACACCAGTAGCCAAAGGGAAATTATTAAAATTTAGTTCAGAATTAGAAAAAGAAATTGAAGAAAAATACATAATGCGCAAAAGTTTGTGATGAAATTTTGGCAGGAAAAATGATGGTATTCAATAGGTCAATGACTAATTATGAATATATTTACATAATTATGAATATATTTGCATAATTATGAATATGTTTGCATAATTATGAATATAGTTGCATAATGTCCCATGAATGCAGCATTAGTGCAGGTAGTCAGTGATGGAAAACTCATTAGAATTTACAAATAAAGGGCGACATATTATTTCAAAATACTGAAGTTTGATGCTTGTCTATCATATTGCTTACTAATACCCGCATAAATACCATTATTATATGTACAATGACAATGATTTAGACCATCACCACTAAAGTTAACTCCATAATTTAATTAAAATTATAATACAAACTCCTTAACTGACTGGGCATTTTATATTACAATGCAACTCCTTAAATGACTGGGCATTTTATATTACAATGCAACTCCTTAATTTGCACTCAATTGTCATTACAATACTGATTCCATACAGTGTCATTTCAGTTATATATGTTGACAGCTGGATTTTCATCATTGAGAAAATCAGCAAAACAGAATTAATTTAAATATTGGTTAAAATTATAATGAAACATACCATAGTTGACGGCAATAGTGAAGAATGTATCCTTTCACCCCTTCCTCTTAGTGGAATGGCCCAAACATTTCAGTTTATTCATAGATTCTATAGAGTCTAGAGTTTATTCCACTTTTAAAGAAGGGGGGATAGAAGTATGATGATACTGATGATGACAAACCTTAGTTCCAAGCTGAGCATTACTTAGTTTCCGTTGCCCTGAGCAACCAGAGCTTGAAAAACTGACCATACTGGCAGTCTCTTGGTGTTCTACACTCTCCTTAATCATCCTTATAGGGGCGCTGTCACGGTCCATGGGCCATGCCCCGTGATAAATTGACTGTGGTACGTTAATGTTAGCGGCAGTGGGCATTGAACCGTTATCGGCAGACAGATGTGCATAGGGATTGCTGCTGTTTGCATAGATCTCAGAAGTCTGGGTAGCTATGGTAACCATTCGAGTACCGTTTACAGTGGTTACTATGGTGTCATGGCTCTTGCGTTCTTTACCGTCAGTATCGCTTAAAAATCCACTATCCCGTCCCCGGATAATGACACCCTAGAATGGAAATGACACATGTACGCATATATTGCATCAACAATACAAAACAAACAATGCAAAATTTAATTAATTAAGACATGAAAAGCTACACTGGAGTACACAAACAACAAACAATTAGGATGGTAGCATTTCGGGTTGTGAGCATGACTATATGATACACCAATTAATGTAACGAGCATTCACACAACACCATTGTATGGACGTATTGTGAATCGATCCTTTTCTGAGATGAATTCATAGTTACATCAAACTTCATAATAGCTGATTGTGATTCTAAGAAGACAAATACGCAGGATTCCAGTCGTTACCCAGAACACCATCATCTTCATTGTCGATTTGTAGGTGAGAGTTAGGTGTATGTCAGGGTGGAAACTACATCAACTACAACTACCTTTCATAGAGCCTTTTCTGTAAATTCAACCATTTTATATTTCAGAATTGTTATTGGACAGTATATTTATGGTAATATGGTTATACCTGTCTGCTTGCTTCTATACCAGTAGCAGCAGCCTGACTTCCCTGGTCAGTTTGGGTAGGTACTCCGCCATCGGTTGAATCGTTACCATTACCGTTACCCATATATAAATCACAACTACCAGAATCCCTTCTTACATTTTCTTCTCTCTCCTAGTAGATAAGAATTCCTAGAGTTAAGTGAGTGCAAATTGATGTAGAAACAAAACAGGACCCCCCCCCCCCCCCAATATGACATAAGATGAGGAACAACGTGCTGAGTTCAAACATATATCAAACAAGCCATGCATGGCACAGTCCTCGTTAGTTATCAAATTTAAGATAAATAGTTTTGTTTATAGTAATATAGCTGGAATATAACCATGTCAGGAATATGATTATTTAACATTAAAATGATTGACATTTGTATCTGATCGTCAAAAAAGTACTTGTCCATATTGAGAGATATTGCTCTGGAACAGCATTCAAAATCAGCCATTTTGAATACATGTATATATATATAACATGATGTATAACGAATATATAAAATTTGAATATAATCAGTCAAAGCATTTAAGAGATATGGCTCTAGAAGCCCAATCATTAAAACAAAATGATCACCAGACAGCCATTTTGAATCCGATCTGAAAAATAATAATGATGTGCATCAGGAACCTGTAATGTCTAACATATGTACCAAGTTTGAACGAAATCTATCCATAAATGCTTGATATTTGATGATTTTTTTAGCACAAAAATGGCCACCATTTGGCCATTTTGAATGGGATCATCAAACCAATATATCTATGACATGATGTATAATGAATATTTAAAATTTGAACATAATCAGTGAAAGCAAGTCAGAGATATGGCACAAGAACCACATTCATTAAAACAAAATGGCCGTCAGTCGGCCATTTTGAATCTTATATAAAAAAAACAAAACTATTTGCATCAAGGTCCCATAATGTCTAATGTATATACCAAGTTTGAACAAAATCCATCTGTAAACAGCCGAGAAATGCTTGTTTTTGATGATTTTTAGCACAAAACGACCGCCATTCGGCCAACTTGAATCAGATCGTGAAACAAATTGACGTGCATATGTATACTATCATGTATGATGTATGTGTGAAGTTTGATTGTGATTGGTCCAGGCATTTCTAAGATACAGGTCCAGACGCACGCACAGACGCACGCACGGACGGACGGACGGACGGACACACGGAGGTCAAAACATAAGTCCCCGTTTTCGTACTGCGTCCGAACGGGGACTAATAAAGCTAAAAATAATGCATTGTGGATGGGCACATGAAAACAGACATGGTAATGACTATACACTGCAAACTATATACCGTACTCGACCGCGTTAGCGCCCAGGGGCCTCAACTCAGAAAATCATGATTTTTTAGCGGTGGGC